TACCCAATAAACTGACTACCCATAGCTGAGAAGACTCAAGGAAAAGAATTCTAGACCAGCACATAAAATTATTCTCCATTCAGAAAGCAGACCATGCTACTAATTTGTGTGTTCTCTCATTGTAGCACTGCAATCATCACCTTTTTCATACACTTTTAGATAACTTCCTCACCTCTTTGAAATGAGTTTTTTTCTTTTTTTTCTGGAGGAGGAAGCAATATCTGGTGCGAAAAATTAAAATATCAGCATCTATCCCCTTCATTCAGAACCAGCAAAACCTGAGTTAGAATTTTGTCTCAGATACTTATTAGCTGGATGAACCTGGGCAAGTCATTTAACCCTTCCCAGCCTTAGTTTCCTTGTCTGCAAAAGATAGGGACTGGTCTTGTGATTTCATTGGTATAGAGAACTCCCAGGTGAAACAACTCCTTCTTACCAATTCAAGGCAGCACCTTCTCTTCAACTTATAGTCTTCAGAGAATTGACAGAGGGCATGGAGATTTGCCCAGGATCACATAGACAGTATATGTCAAAGTCAAGACTTGAACCCAGATCTTAGCTGGCTTCAAGGCCATCTCTCTTACTGCCTCATCTACAAAATGTGGAATAATAAATAATAGCACTTACTTCACAGGGTTGCTGTGAGGACCAAATGAGTCAATATATGTAAAGCACTTTGCAGACCTTAACATAATGTATAAATGTTAGATATTATTATTATTATTACTATGTTCTTCAAGATAGAGGTGAATTATTTGAACTGTAGTAAAGCTCTTTACATACTTATCCAGGCTTAGCATACCAAATGTTAATTTTATTAGGAAAAAAATGAAAGGAGTTTCTGTGACTGAAGATCAAATAATTCCCAGATAGTAACTTATTCAAAGGTAAATTATGTTATCAGTGCTTCTGGGAGAAGTGAAATTTTAAAATAAATCATATAGAATGGCTTAGATGATATCACCATTCAACACCTACCATAAAAGTACAATATTAAGTCATAATCCACTACAGAAAATGCAATGTACTTTTAAAAAACAAAATAGTATCAGAGTTTTCTGAATAGAACAAACAAAAACATGTGTTTATTTTCAGTTTCTCAAAAATAGAACTGTGAGTAAACCAAATACCACAGACCATAACATATATTCCCAAATAAGGACTCTATTTTGCAGATGGAGTCAAGGAGTTGAAGTGAAGAGAAGTAGAGATAGAAGAGCTTTATGTGATTTTATAAATAAGAAAGTTTAGAAGTCAGCTTTATCTGGCAGACAAGGAAAGCATCATGGCTCCACCACTCATGTCCAGTCACTGTCTGACTTTGGGCAAATTACTTAAACGACCCCATACTCCATTTCCCTCACTTTATAAACAAGGACATTCACATTCTCATGTATTTAAATATCACATCTTCTAAGGATTCTTTCCTCATCACTTTAACCTAATGTGATGTGGGAAGTCTGGACAAAGGCAGAAGTCACTAACTAGATATATATAATGGTACGTGTCCACAGTGGCATCACATCTTAGTTGTACCATGCCCTACACACCCTAAAATGGGCTTTAGGAGCCAAGATTAGGGAATATCACAGGGAACACAGTCTGGGATAGGTTTCCTGACCACTTTCATATTTCAAGGATTTGATCTCATTGGAGTAGTTACTCTAGCCATTGATGCAGATAGATATCTATTAACCAGAAGAGTTTGTCACCAGAGAGCCAGCCCTCTGGTAATAAGTCTTTCTCTGAGGTTCATTAAGTTAATCCTCAGACAAAGCATAAGGTCTATTGCTGGGCCCATAATAGAAAGTTTTTTTGGTTTGTTTTTTTAACTTGGTAGGCTCTTCTTGAGCTTATTATACTTTGCTTCTGTAGCCTTTGAGAAATCTGGGCCACCTTCACACCATGCTGTGGCATCAGAGTAGGCCTTTAGTCTTGATGCTTTCAGTCCAATGCTATTACCCCAAGATGGTGCTGAGGAGTAAGTGATGGAGAGGACATACTTAAGAATATGCGGACCCTCCTTCTCTGCTCTGAGATAACTCTAAAAAGCCCCAGGATTGCCTGAAGGCTGTGGATATTGGCCAGAAAGTCCTTAGGAAATCTCAAGCCACCAAGCCAGACTCATCCTAAAAATCAGGGACAAAATGAGTTCTACATTTGTCCCAAAGTTCTGAATCTCTCTGAGAGTTGCAGATCAATTTGAACCTCTCTGAAGGAAACCTGAACCCTTAGGCCAGGGGTTCTTAACATTTTCTATGTCTTGGACTCCCCTGGCAGCTTGGTGAAACCTATATAACCCCTTCTCAAAATTATGTTTTTAAATGTATAAAGTAAAATATATAGAATTACCAATTATCTTGAAATTCATTTATAAAAATAATAAAAACAAAACAAAACAAGTTCACCAACTCCAGGTTTTGAACCCCGGCCTCAGGCCAACTGCAGCACCATTCTGACCTTGGGACCCTTCCTTCACTTGCAAGTTCCCGAAGACTGTTAACCAGATCAATCCTCCTAAACTTACTGAAATGGATTAAATACATATCCTTGAATTTAACTAGAGGAGGTAGGGAGAGAGGCTTTTTGCAAAGGATACCAAGGGACCTCAACTTTCATCTTACTTGATGATTAAATGTCTTCTGTTTTCTTTTCCTTAAACAAGGGTTTTCTAAAAACAATAGGCATGTTAATTCAAGAGAAAGGCATGTCAGTAAGTCTTTTACAAACCCCATGCGGGAGTCCACAAAAAGACCTTAAGCATTCTATGTATCTGAAAGGCATCCCTTGGAGCCAACTTTTTTCTTTTATTGCTAGATTCAGTAAATCTGCCAGGTGTGATGGCAGAAAGGGAGGGCCCATGACTTTCATTATAGTCAATGTGTGAGGAAAAGGGGAAACTAAGGGAGTCTATAGCCAGCCTACTCAGAATGGAGGAGGAGAAGACTGCTGGACAGACATTCATTCAATAGGGGAGAGCAGGCATGAATCAAAATCTCAGTAAGAGGCAGCAGGTGGTCTGGATACCCATCTTATCTTGTAATGGAGAACTTTCCCAAACTCTGCCAGACTCTGGGGGAAGGGCCCTGGTCTCTAGTCATTCCCAGGTGCCCTAAGCTTAAGAATGCCAGGCTCGGGTTTCAAGAGCTCATCAGATATGCTTCAGGAATGCAGTCTGAAGGCTCAAGGCCCAATTGAAGTTTCCACATGGAACTATTCCTTTCACAGGCAGGAAAATGCAGGCATGGCATGGAGGGTGATACACATACAAGACCACCACCGTCACCACCACTACCAATCACCACCTCCACCACACCACCACCACCAACTGAAAAAGGTCTTGCCAAGCAACAACAATATATAAATCGATGTATATATTATTTGGCTTGCAAGTCTGACGTCATGGCACCACCTACCAGCACCCCAAGCAGCACTGATCGCTCACACTCCTACCTTGCGCCGGGGAACCAGCTTCCTTTGTGCTTTGGCTCCTGCCCTGCAGTTCCCAAGACGTTCCATTCCTCCAGTCTGCTAAATAGAAACTCCTTTTCTCAATAATACTGTCAGGCGGAGCATGGCTAAAAACATTCCCCTTCCATTGCTTTGGAGCCCTCCAGAGCAGTGACACATCTTTTCTTTCCCTCCTACATTAGGAGGTGAATGAAAAGCTCGACTCTGTCTAGTTCATAATGGGCTGTAATTACCCTTTAAGGACCAAACTCTTTCCTCACAAAGAAGCACTAAGTAGAAAATGTGTTCCTAGTCCATGAATATTTAAGTCCCAGCAGCAGGACTACAGCTAAATTCTAATTTAACAATTATCCCTGGCTGCACAACCAGGTTTTCTGGGGGCAGAGGGCGTATAAAATTTTTCAAATCTGCCACATTCCTGTTGTTCTGCCAGGCTTTGGGGCTGCTGAAATAACATGCTGGGGATAAGTAGTTTGGAGAAGGAGGAAATCAGAGAAAAGAGGTTCAGGGGGCATCAAAGGTTGGGGGTAGACAATCGACCTCACATGGAATTATGACATCTCTCTAATTACTACTGGTTCTTGAAGCTCTGTGGGTTGATATCTCAGTAACACTTTTGTTCTACCAACCACCCAACAGGAGTGGAAACCCCCTGAGAGGAAAAAGAAAGAAAGGAATTTAGCAAAACAACCAGAAAGATTTGTTTAACTAAGGCCATATCCACATACGGCAGACTGAGATCACGATCATTCTCTTTCCTTAATTTACTGCACTGTTAATCAACAATGTAATTCACAGTGTACCTTCTATGCTAGAATGTGTCCAAGACAGTGATTCACAATTGCCCATAAAGCTATGGGAGATGTTGAGAGATTGTGTGAACTACTTTTGGTGCCAAAATATTTGTTAACCAAAGGAACAATAACTAACGCTTGAACACCAATTTTCAGTCCTTCCAAGGCTTGAGCTACAATTCCATGATGTTTAGTTGCAAAATAGTATTTTTTCTTTCGTGAATAAAATCACTGGTTAATTATAGCCATATAAAAGGAAACAAGAGATGGTCTCTATGGTTTGGAAAGAAAATTTTCCACTTGCAGTGTACCTTGAGTGAGTCTAAAACTTTCAAAAGGACAAATGATACGCTTTGTTTAAATTTTTGATAGTTGACACTTTTAAAGAAGATTTGAAGTGAAAGGATTTCCTCATTCAAATTAGTGAAAATGCAGCATTTACTTACCTGGTTAAATGTTTTCTTTTCTTTGTGCATTTCCCTGCTGCCTCTTCTCTTCACGGTACTCTGAAATAAACATAAGTAACATTGTCTTACTAACAAATAACACGTCAAAGTCCAGGATTGAGGTAGAAATTATATTATTGCTACTAAGCTGACTTAGCGAAAGTATGTGATTCAACAAACATTTATCAAACCTCTACTATGTGCCAGGCATGATTCTAGGTGCTCTGGATACAGGGATAAAAATGAAAATGACCCTGCCCTCAAGAGGCTTACAGTCTACTGTAGGAGGAACACAACACGTACACAGATAAGTAAATACAAAGTAATGCAAAGTAATCTCAAGAGGGAAGGCGCACAAACAGGTAGGGAGATATGGAAAGGCCTCCTATAGGCCATAGCACCTGTGCTATTAGAAATGTTATTTTTTCTTCTTCTCTGAAAATAAGAAAGTGTTTCTTAAAGGCAATAGAACCTGTCCTATGAGAACTTGATAATAGAAAGACTTCAAAATATTCTCATATTGAGAGAATTCCCAAAAGAAAAGAGAAAATTATATACTGCCAACCCTCAATTATCCACATTAATGAAGAGAAACAAGACATGGATAATCAAACTAGCACTACACAGCCCTCCCTCATCTAAATCCTATCCACTTGCAAGTCATGTATCACCTTCCTGATGCCACGGTCCTCTTTGAGAACAAAGGACAAACAATAACAACTGCTAATAATAATAATCATGATAATGAGAAGTGTTAATCTTAAGATGTGTATTGTGATATTTTGGCAGCTGGTTTGCTTTATTGATTAGGTCTTCCTTTAGCTATTACTTAAATTAGCTGATAGGCTCTGAGGCCTGTCATTTTCCCTAAGCAAAAGAACGTACACAAAGGTGACTGAATGTTGACTGGTTCATACCAAACCATATATTTCTGGACAGCAGCTGGTAGAGAGCAATTTAGAAATCCAATTGAATTCAACTAGACAAACATTTATAAGCACCTGCTATGTGCAAGGATCATAAGTCTTGAGCTAGAAAGAAACTCAAAGGCCATGGGGTCCAACCCCTACATTTTACAGATGAGGAAACTGAGGCCCCCCCCAGACTCAAGTGACTTGGTCATGGTCACCCAGGCAGTGTCAGAAGCAGAATTTGAAATCAGTTCCTCTGACTTCAGAACCAGTGCCTTTCCTATTGCAGCCTGTTGCTGGACTCAGCTGGCAAAACTTGTCTTTAATGCTGTTCTCCTGAACTTTGGTCAAGGTTTTCCTACCTCTTTGGTACCTTTCTCCAACTTTGAGGTGGACCCAGTGCCCTATTGATTTTTCCCTTTTCTACTCTTCTTTCATCCCCACTAAAATCTACTATTAGGAAAAGATTGAGAATGAATTTAAGTCAATGTTACTTCTCTCAGAGACATTTCCTCCAAAATCCTCTAATTGTGGCATGAAAGGAATTGTTCTTTCTTACATGATTTCAAACAACACCAGTGCAGGAAATTACAACAAATAGGTCACCCATTCCACATATCCTTAAGGATGATCATAGCTAAATACTTAGGAAAGAAACTTGGGAAATAATAACTCTGGGTAAAGGGACCAAGGAGAACATAGTTACCAGCTTAGGGTGTTAAGAGAACTACCCATAGGGAAGCAGTTTCAGCTTGAATCTAAAAAATTTCAGTGTTGTTTGGAGAGATAGTTGGAAATTGGACCAGAGGATTGAAAAACAGCTCTCACTGGCCTGGTGGGTAGAAGTAGACTTGAAAAAAAAAAAATGAAACAAAGATAGAGTTGAAGAAACCAAACTTCCTGGTGGATCCAGACAAAATGAGTAATGACAACAATGGGGCTATCTGGATTTGGTAATTGTACTACATCCTTATGGCTTTTATTGTTGCTATTCAGTTGTGTCTGACTCTTCATGACTGCATCTGGAGTTTTCTTGGCATAGATACCAGAGTGGTTTGCCTTTTCCTTCTCCAGTTCATTTTACAGATAAGGAACTTGAGGTAAACAGGGTTAAATGACTTGCCTCGGGTCACACAGCTAGTAAGTGTCTGAGGACAGATTTGCACTCAGGAAGATGAGTCTTCCTGACTCCAGGCTTGGTGCTCTATCCATTGCATCACCTAGCAGCCCTATCACTATGGTTTGACTACCCGGATAAAGTCTATACCCCAAGATGTCCAAACTCTAGGATGAAGTAGTTTAATGTTCTTTAAATAAAGAGGACAGATATGGAAGATAAATAAGAGTCTATATTTACACAAAGAAATCTGCTTAATTGGTGACAGCACTCAAAACTTTAGGGTTTAAATCATATATCAGCATCAGAGGGAAGAGGGAGGACTGGAATTCCCTTGGTATTTCTCCATCTAGCACTAGTAAAAGTAACATAGATTTAGCAGAAAGGTCATTGCACTAAGAAATGGGTCACTTAAGTTTTAATCCCTATTCTGCCACTAACAACTATGTGAACCCAGTCAAGTAATTTTATTTCTCTGAGACCCAATTTCCTCATCTGTAAAATGAGGGGATTAGCTCTCTAAAGTCACTCCTAACTGTACATTTCTGTGATTCTATGATTCTGTAAGATCTCAAAGTAATAATATTTTTTAATGAAATAGAAAAATGAATTAGCCGGTGAACGAGATAAAAATCTCTGGGCCTCTGAGATGAAGTTGATTTAGAGGTATGAAAGAAGAATGCTGTGTATGCCATATAATTTGAATAAATGAAAAGAGTTTTGGGGGGTTGGGCCTGGACTTAGGATTTCACTGATATAGGGAACCCCTTCTCTGTACCAATGAAGGTTGAAAATTTCTCTGCAATTTATCACCTTAGAGAATTTCCAGGGCACCGGGAGGGTATGTGAATTGCCAGTATATGTTAGAAGAGCGCCTTGAGCTTAGGTCTGGCTCTCTGGCTCTCTATCCACTACACCACACTTTGTTCTTTTCCAGTACAGTGAGACTAGGGCTCACTAGTTGCTAAACACAGTAAGGCAACATGGCCTTCATTCAATAAGGCATTATAATATGCTTCCTGAAAATCCAGTCATGAAATAGATCAGTAACTGATTAATCAAATTTAGCTCTATTCTGACATTGCATATACCTGCAGATACTTGGAACTAAAACTAAATAACTAAAAGCAACCTCATAGTCCTCATAAATCCAACTCAGTTCCTATGTTCTTAAAAACAAAGTACACCCTACCAATTCTTCAACTATTACAATCAGCTAGTGTCTAATAGTTGAGTGAGATCAGGTAGGGGTGTGCTGGCACCAGCTTGATTGAAGCAGGTTGTTAAATTTTCAGTGTGAGCATGGGAGATTGGCAAATGCAACAATTCGGGTTTGATTTATTGTTTTGTTGACTGTCTAGACTTTAGAAAGTGATGAAGAAAGTGTTAGTAATCTAGATTAAACTTAAAACTTATTATTATTAAAAAAACTTATCAGATGGCATAGTGGATACAGTGCCAGCCCTGGAGTCTGGAGGGCCTGAGTTCAAATCTGACCTCAGAAACTTTTGAGCTATGTGACCCTGAGCCTTAACTTAATTGTCACTTAACCCTGATTGTCTTTTCTCTTCCCCCACCCCACAAAAAAAGTGTTATCAGGTGTACATTTTTTTTCATAGGTAGTTAAACCACTGCTCTCAACTCATATAATTCCCTCACAATAGGACACTTTTTACTGCTGAATTTAAGGGAAGGCTCTGACTCTGTGCAAATCTACTTCTGAACATGAGTCAGAAAAATGTTGGGACTCCATATTTGATGAAAAAAAGTAAATCTTCACAAATCTATTTATTAGCCTCAAAATTAGATGAGAAGCAGGGGGTATTAACTGCTCTCAAACCTAAGGCTCAAGGTACGTAGCTGTGTTGACGCTCAGGAATATTAATAGGCCAGTCAACTTTTATTTTCACTCCTTTTGGCCAAATATGAAAATAGAGGGGTCAGGGTTTGGGAGAGGGCTCCCATGAATTATGTATTATTCCTGGCTGGGATGAAAGAGTAACATTTTGCAGACCCCTAAATGACAACCTATACTCATCTAAGATGTCCTTCCCTAAACTCTGGGGATATAGGATAGAGGTATTGGATAATCGGGTTATGATTGCCAGGTGCCCTGCAGGTCTCCAGGTCTCTTGGCATGTGGCTGAATGACCAAATGCCAGGAAGTTCCGGTGTCCCCCGTGGGACAGCGGATTGTTATTGTACCACAAGCTTAGGTTAAAAGCAGGTGCATCTTTAGCTCATCTACTAAGAACTGCTTGAAATAGTTGAGCGGAACATTCTGTGTTTCTGCTGCCTGGTACTTCTGGGTATGAGCTAGCCTGGGTGACTCTTATTCATGTCAATGCTACTTATTCCCTTGAGTGAATTGGGAAGTCATGGTGAAATTAAGGCCCTCAAGGAAGTATTATTCTTATAATACATTGAGTGAATTGAACCACAGGATGGGTGGAACTTCTTGCTAATTAAATATACCCTAGTTACTTTAAGTCAACCACTGGTCAAAGACTCTGGATTCCTATGAAGGGGGAAAACCCCTAACAAAATACTTAGTTAATTACTTCTTAAAACGTTACGATCTTAAATCATAAATAGCTTCCAGTATTTCTCAAGTCATTGAAAAAAACATTTTTCTATTAAGGACAAACTAAGATAAGGAAAAAATGCAATTTTTCTTGGACTAGTATGGTTGCCTCCTGACTGGTGTCACTAGTAAGGCAGTGCTCTCTCCCTCCTCAGATAACCCTATATTTACATATCTTTAGAAATTTCTCCTCAATATAGTAATTCAGATTTAGTGTTGAAAGGACTGTTTTAAACGATTTAGTTCAAATTCCTCAATTTACGTAGAAAGTGAGAAAATTCAGAAAGGTCAGATAACTTGCCCAAGGTCACACAAATAAAAGAAGTCCTTGCAATCAGAGACTTTTTCTCCTTCTGTCTTCATATCGCTACTCCCTTGCACAAAGCCTATGCTTAATAAATGCTTGTTGAATTCAACTTTACATCCATACAAGGCCTCTTCAGAAAAC